GCGCAAGGGCTTCTGGGATAATCACGCCGAGGCCAGTGGTACAATAATGGCTTCTGGTATTGCTTTGGTTTCCGGGTTCCCATTTGTGCAACCGATATTAATGCGGCACATGGTTAGTAAACATTTAGCTGGTTTTCACACTACGACTGGAGAAACAGTCTAGCTTAGAATCGCTATCTATTTATGCGCTGACCCAAAGATCGCAAACATGCCAACGCGCCGAGCTAGTTCCCAGTCTTCTCTAACTGTGTAGTTCCGTCGGCCGACAATAAGGTAAAACCCTAATTGATCTTTAGGATCAACGGCAATAGGTTCCTGTATAAGCTTGAGATAGGACATACTATCAATCTTCCTTAAAACGCCAACTTCTTTTTTTAGCTTATCAACGCAATGTATTTGCTCGAACAAGTGTAAACTGACTTTGTCGATGCCATCAGTAACCCATTTCGGTCATTTCGTCAATGTCTGAGTCCTTCTCAGATAACTTATCATATTCATTGTTCGCGGCCCATGACTGTTTTTCTCCTGAGGCAAACAGCACATAGAATGTGGAGCCAAGAAGATAAACCGCTCCGGTTATGAAGAAGACGATCCTCCATTCTAAGGCAGTCTGTTGAAAGAAACAAGCTGAAGACAACTTCTCGAGTGTAACTTACAAAGCTTGTTGTCCGATTTAGTAATGATGGTGATGGGATGACTGTTGGAAATTTTAAATTTGACTGGCTAAACTTTAAACAATGGTATCATTAAAGACTCCCTCGGCGGGACTCCCATATAAAAGAACGGGGGTACTCATCGTAAATTTTGAAAAGAACCCCTATTTAAATACCCTGAAAGGTACGATGAAAGTTCCCACTGTGGACCATTTGAGGCTGAAAACCCTAAGAGGAACCATTACCGCTTTTTTAACCCTTAAAAGGTACGACGAGTAACCAAGTCCTTTTTATCTGGGAGACTCCCCTATAGTTCCTTGTCACCCATCAAAACTGAGCAACGTACGCTGTCTTAACAACATATTTACTCCTCTTTACAATGGCCAGTTTTGATATCTTATAGAAACTCATGATCACCCATTCCTCGTAGTTCACCAACCGTAGGTTCCAGCATATTCGTTTGTTTAACTACCCGGTTTGGGGGGGGGGGGTTAGCCGTGCGAAGCAATTGACCTGTTGTAATGGTACATACATGTATATATGACTGGGTTTATGAAAACGGTGTTAAAGAAAACGGCGCGTTGTTTGGCAATAAGTGAGCTATACATTTTTATTTTATTTTTTCTTAAACTGACCAAAAATCACACCAGGTAAATGTAAAAAGAAGCTAAGTAGAGGAGGAAGATAAGAGAGAGCGAGAGAGAGAGGGAGGAGAGGGGAAAGACGACTGACATTCCTTTGGATTTTGATATCACCGACTTAAGAGACACCGTTTTCATAAATCCACGCAAATATACTAACTACATATGGGTCGTACTGGCGGATACGGATCCTACTGGTCAACCTCGCACCCAGGAAGATCGCTGGGAACGACCCTGTACACTGGTGATCTGATCCTGATCGGGAGCCGTATCATGAAGGTCATGCTGTGGCTACATGGCGCCCATTTCACAGTACTTACATGACGCTGAACAATAACTCCTGTCAGGGTAGGCGTCAAAATTCTCGCTGTCGTTGCTGCTATGTCTGTTATTCCAAGCAGGACACTGGCGAAAGGAGGAGCTATATCAAGATGATTGACAGCGAAGCCGCTGACTGTTAATCCTTGAAGTCCTATTCCCAGAGTGAGAAGTACCACAACAAGGTCAGAGCTAGATGAATAGCTTAATGCTAATGAGGAGGACAGCCGGAACAACAGAACCTAAAATAAAACAGAAACGAACAAAACATTGAATTAATTCAG